AGGGACTGAGGATCATAACAGTCCTGGAAAAAGCCAGCACTAAGTTGTAGAATACGGAAGATCTGTAGCTTATTTGTATGAGAGTGTAGCAGACTACTGTGTTATGGTCCAGTGTTCCCTCGCTGATCAAATCTCTTGTGAAGAGTGAGATGGCAATGGACTGATGTATGATCCCAACAGCAGTCAGAATATCAGCCCCAGATATCATCGTGTAGAGAAGAGGGACAAGAGTGAGTTTGTTTTTCCGATAGAAGTTCATAACGAAGATGTTGAGGACAGGGACAAAAGGATTTCGCGGGATGTACGAAATCGCGAAATTTCCCATTCTCCGCGACAAATTTTATGTATAGTTTAATGTATAGCCTGTTAAATTTCGCGGTACCGCGATTTTTGGCCAAAATAATCGCGAAATCCTTTTGTCCCTGGTTGAGGATAATCGTAATGATACTCAGTAGAATGCACGGCACTGCAGAGATAAAATAAGGTTCCAGTCTTGATCTTGATTCAAAACTGGTTACCGCGAAATAGGCAGAAGTAGTATAAGGAGAGGGGAACCGGAAATAGGGTTCCAGTTTTGATGTCAAACTGGGATCTTCTGGGTAGTCCGAGAAAAAATCATCAGGATAATGATCAGTGATGAACGGTTCTAGTTCCGTATCGTGAGGATACTGTGCAAGGTTTCCTTGATCTGTCATCACTTTCTGCATTCTGGAATTTATTAAGAGTCATATTAATTTGAGTTAAGAGAATGAATCTGGGTACTTAATATTGGCATTTTTGATGAATGTCTGTTTGTTTTAACTGGGAACCTCAGGCTTTTGTGTTCATAAACACAATTGAAGATTGAAGATATGGTGGAATGACAGGATCCGACCTTCAACATCGACCTTCAAACCTCGACTGTTCACTCTCCACTCTCTAGTGTCCATTCATTACTCTCTACTCATCTACCTGTTCACCATCCCCCCAATTTACCGATCTAGATATATCCGCCCACAGTGTGGGCCCCACACCCACTGCAAAAACAGATTGCAGATACAAGATATAACTCAACGAGATTAAGGTCATTTCGGCTCATCTTTTTAATTTTATACTAGATAGAGGATGATTTGATCTTTATGAATACAATTACTTTAATACTTTCAACACTACATTATAACAAAGAATTTGAGGCTCTAATGATGTAGTTTTACGAAGATTTCAAGCTTAAGCCTTATGTTGTGTGTTTCCCTTCGTGTCCAAAAGCATTATACAATTAATTTAATGGCCTATGAGTTCTAGGTTGTCCAATTTTGAAACGCACATTAGTATAGCACGTGACTAATATGTAATAAGGCCCCATTCATATTTCGAAGCGGATTCTGATTCCTTTTATTTTTATAATATAGTTATACTATTATGTCGCATGATTTGTCAGGTTGGCTAATCTGTAATATTAACAGGAAAGTTGCCTTTTTCCTGTAACAGCCTCCATTAATACGTCCAGTAAGCTAAACAAGTTATAAACCTGTACGATATCGACATAAAATTCGTCGAAGAATGAAATTACAAAGCAATTATGTGAATTGTCACTGTGAAGAATAATGGCTCTTTCACAAAATGGATGATTGTTTATGAACTAATTGCGAGGACAGAAGAAGTAATGGTATCTCAGAGGCACAAGTTTCAGGTCCGACCCGGTTGGGAACGCGCATTGAACTAATAAACAAAAAAAGTTTCACTTAAGTTGCAAGTATAATAAACTTGTTGGTTGCAACTAAATATTACATAAGTTACAGCAAGTTAACAAATAATAATTACACACTTAAATTGAACACAAATGATTCGTTATTAAAATGGCACGTAGCGTATCCATACCTTATTAACCTGGTTATTGGTATTCATTCTGACGACCTTAATTGTTACTGATAGAGGCCTCAGCAATTAAATAGGTACACTCAAGTTTGACACGCACTCTGGTTAGACACGTACTGTAGTTCGAAAAATCCTTCGTCAGAATTAATAAAATAAAATGACGTATAAATATATGACGTATAGATAGCCAAAAGATTGCAATTAACATATAAACTGGATGTAAACAAGCTGCTTAAACTTAAAGTTTAAGGCCTTCACATTGCTCATCTTCCCTTTTGAAAGTTTACAGTTTTATGCCAATTCTACCACCGGGTTGCACTTTGAACACAAATAACAGATTCAGCAACATCTAAATTTAAACAGACCGAAATTAACATCAGTCGCCCAGTCGGGTACATATTTATATTTCAGCCAGTTTCTAGATTGTAAATGGCGGATAATGTATCTGAACTAGAGTCTTTATCTCTAGATGACAAATAAGGTAGTTCTGAAGATGACGGATAGAAACACTGACCTAGAGTCCCTTTTTCAGATGACGGATAAAGTGGCTGAACTAGACTATCCTTCTGTAAACGAAGGATAATGTATCTGACCTAGAGTCCCTTTTTCAGATGACAGATAAGGTATTTGAACTTTTGTCTTTATTTCTATACGACAGTCAAGGTAGTTGAACTGACATCTCTTTCTCTAAATGGCGGATGAGGTATCCGAAATAGAGTGACCACCAGCACTAGATAACTGACAATGTAGCTGAACTGTGGGATATGCGCCGGAACTGATCAGACTGGAAGGGGGGAGCAGAACTGTCTCCACCAGCTGGACTTCGTGTTGTTTCCGTGCACTGAAATGGGGGAAATTAAGCGTTAGTTTCTTATCAGAAACAACAGCACAGATTCCGGATAATATGCGTGTGATAGGTGATGTACTGACGTAATGAATCTTGTAACATTTAACTGGCGCTTATCATTTGTAAAATGTGTAATTTAAATGTTCCAGAGGTTAGAAGAAGTGGTCGAAATGTGTTTCCCCCGAGAGGCATCTCATGTCCATGTCAACGCAGCAGTAGCCACATTATATTTTGTGATTGCGTTCTTCCACGCCTGGCGTGAAAACGGATCGGGGACCAGTAAAGCACTTGGAATGTCTTAAAAATTATCGTGTTTAACCGAATTAAGATTTGAGAGTTTCACTTACTTATAGTTGCTTGCCTTTACACATGGTGGATTTAAGTGGCTATGTGAGACTATCTGTTGGCGTTGCATACTACAGTCGATATTAGTTTTTGATCAGTGATCAAGTGCAAAACAGTCAAATCAGTTCAAGACTATAAATTGAAGGAACGTGAAATGTTGAGAACGGGCGATTGGATTGATAGTCTTTTACAAAGTTTTCAGATTATGTGTTTGAATTGTGTTGTGAGATAGCAGTTAGGTCGATCAGTTGGGGGTTGTCACCCCACAGAGTCAAACTTCTCACATGTTGAACTTAACTTTGCCGGCAAGAAATGCAGTTCAATTATCAGTTTATGTTACCAGCAGAAATGTTGTTCTAAGTGTCCAATGCAAGATTAACCTCAAAGAAGAGGAAATAGTCCAGTCATTTATGGACATTTTTGGTTTGGTACCTGCAAATCTTCAGTCTCAGATACTCCTGAAACTTTGCACAGGCCTTCCTTATGCTCTTATGGTATGACTTACTGATTTCCAGTTGGAGACAATTTTTGTTACATGGGCAATTCCCAGGAGGGCCACGCCCATATTGACCTAATAACGCAACTGACCCTTGGCTTCTCAAGATCGTAGAGACTTCTAAATAGGCTGGAGTTATAGATCAATATATATGGCCTAAAATCCTTACTTTTCGAGAAATTCGCCTAAAACCATTTTGGGCGTGGCGATGAGCCCATTTTGCAAACTTTTTATAGGAGTATGATAGAGTCTTCGGATAGAGTGCAAAAGAACCGCGATTGACACATTTATATATAATATAGTTATATGACTTACGAAGAAACATATGCCTTAAAGCGCTAACTTTTTCAGTTATTGGCGAAAAAATGATTTTAGGTTCCGGAATCATGCAAAAGTATGGCTATCTGGTAAATTAGGCTATGAAGGTTCTAGAAGTTTTTAAATGAGTGCAACTTGTGCAGAATAGCCATGTTTATATGCAACTTAAATGAAGCAACATGTACCCTAAAATGCTTACTTTTCGAGTTTAAAAATTATAGGCAATGTCGCGAGCTAGAAACTTCCTGAACGGGAAACCCAAACGTATGATCTCCACCAAAGAAGAGGGGAGCTACTCGGACTCCTATTTAAAAAGGTCAACTTAAAATGATGCGTACATGTTAATTGTTAAGCTCAAATCACATCCACAAACTGAGCGGGAGGTAGACTGGTTGAGCCCCTCTTCACTCTTTCTGCTATTAAGTTTGAGTCTTTATTGCAGCGAACCTGAGTCTCACTCCTTATCGTCATTGTCATTACGTCTCCTCTTCGTGTGGTGGTGGCTCCTGGCTTATCTGTTACCATACTCAAGCTTCTTCTTTTCTGGTTCTTGTCTCTTCCCACTCCCAGCGCGATCAGCATTTTCCTGGAAGAGGAAAACGGTTGAAGAAGAGGGCGGTACAGACGAGTATTATAGTACATAGTCACAATCGCAGACAGTATTACTTACTGTAATCGGATTATATTTAAGTTTTAACATTGCATTATTCAACCGCTTTTAATCATGATACATATATTCATTGAAAAAATTATTATCCATTGTTGCTAATTCAGACACTGATTAGTATCAATGAGAGTTATTTTTATAGTTGCATCCAATTTGACTTGCATAACGAAAAAGGCTCAGTCTTAAATTAGTTGCCACTTGCCATGTATAACTATAATTTGAAGAGGCGATAATCTGATAATGCATGCGACGAATGTTTGAGACCCACGTGACTTCATCACGTGAGTGAAAATTTACCACAGCATTGGCCATCACATCAGCACAAAGTTTTAAAATACATGATGGTTCCTCAGATGCTTTTCAATGGATGCCACTTGACAGTCAGCAAGGGACGACATTGGTCAGTTATTCCAGATATTGCCAACAATTGGCTAAACTCTCATAACAGTAAGGGATCTTCATCAGACCTCCGTGTTTTCCGTTTTAATATCTTTCTGCGTCGTATGCTTCTTGGCAGTGCGGGAAACTCTGTGCTGGTGTTTTTAATAACATAATATACATATTATCATGGATCATCTAAACGTTGATAGGACGACAGCCTCCGCTGGAGAACAGCGCGAAGACTACGATGAGGTCAGCATTCAGTTTGTTTCCAGTAGGGCGTGTTCGAGCGTGTCCATGTACGGTAATTCGCTGTTGTCAAGTGTAACCAGGATGGACGGTCAAGTTACCACATCTTATCAGTATCTCAGAGAGGATGGGAGGTACCTTCATGCTGCTCCCGAGGACCTTTCTAAGGTAGCTGTATAATTGTGAGGACTTAACTTGAAATATCAAATGAAACGTTTGTTTTTCTCCTGGGTTCGACTAAAAGTAGCTTGTTAGAGAGTTAGCACTATGTATCTTATTATAGCTTTGTTGAACGGTTATTTATTCAGAGAATCTTCGAGACCAGGAGTAACAATGACCGTCTATTTCACAACATAAACTGTTATCGTGAATTATAGTTAAGTAAAGTTCTTCCTTTCAGGTCCTTTCAGCTGACGGCCTCACCGTTCAGTTTGAAGAGGATGTCTACGAGCTGCTCCTAGACTGGGTCTACTACGACTTCGAGCGGAGAAAACAATACTTCGGACTACTATTCGAGGCTCTCAGACTTCCTTACATCCCCTTTACATACGTTCAGAAGATTATCAAAAAGGAGGAACTAGTGCAAAACAACCCGGTCAGTTACGGAGCTGTAGTTCAGTACGAGAGGCTAGCCTCCAAACTTGCCAAAGGAGTCAGCATCAGAAGCAGGGCGAGTATAGAGAAACTGGTGGGAGGACCCCGTGCTAACTACAAGGACATGTGTATATTCGTTTGTGGGGGTAAGGGAACTGAACAACTCTGTGAGGTGTATAACCCGGCTACAAACTCGTGGAGGAGTGTGGATGACATGCCAGTGGGACGGAGTAACGCGGCTGTTTTCAATGTTTCGGAGGATGATATTTGTTTTGTTGGAGGAGAGGACAAGTTGAAGGAGGTTGTTAACACGACTGGTTGTTACAAGTGTTCAAAGGATGGGTGGGTTGAAGGGATACCGATACCAGGCCAGATTAGGAGTGGTGCTAGGTCTGCTACTCTCGCTGGTAAAACTTATCTTATCGGAGGTATTGCCTCGGACGAGGGCTACACTCAATCAGTTGAACGGTTCAACCCAGATGGCCACAGATGGGTGCCAGTCAAATCTATGGACTACAAACGGTTTTCATTTGGTTGTGCAACTCTTGATGGTTTTGTCTATGCTTGTGGTGGTTTTGACGGAGACCAAGATTTGAAGGAGTGTGAATTCTTCATGCCAGACTGCAACGAATGGACAGGATTAGCTTCCATGAATATTCGCAGATCCGGCTGCAAAACTGTGGCAGCAGAGGGAAAACTGTACACTCTGGGAGGATGGAACGGTTCAGAAATTCTCGATAGTTGTGAGGTTTATGATCCGAGAAGTAACAGATGGACTATGATCGAGCCTATGAACCGAGCTAGACACGGGCTGGATGTGGTTGTTATTGGGAACGTTATCTACGCCATCGGGGGCTGGAACGGCTCAAAGCAGCTGTCCTCGATTGAGCGATATCACACCAGATCGAACTCGTGGGAATTTGTCAAGCCCATGTCAATGGGACGATGGTTAACGACTGCTATACCCATCCCAACCCAACAAGTGAAACCAATCATAAATGAACCTCCAGTAAATGAGGCTTGAGGTGTTTTGTGCGTATCCTTTAAACATGGAATATTCCAGATCAGATATCAGACGTGTAATCCAGTGAATAGTAAAGAAGAAATCTATAATTTAGCTGAGATAAAGCTGAAATGTGCTGATATTAAAATGAAATGTAGCTGAAATTTGCTGTGATTTTACTGAAATTTTGCTGAGATTTTGCTGTAATGCTTTAAAGCTCACCTGTAAGCATCTCTGATGGGCTTGTTGGCGATACCAAAGATGAGTGGGTTAGCTGAGCTTCTACCCACATTAACCCAGTGAGCAGCCACTATGTACCTGACGTCATGACGTTAACAGATATAACCAAAACATTGCTTTATCTTACGTGGATCTTTATGATATTATCTTGAACTTAAGTCTCATCCGAGGTATTTAAATGTAGCCTGTCATGTTAGAAATCTGAAATAGGACTGATGATATAAAACGCTACTACTGGTCTAATGTGAACTGTCAACTGTGTGGTGGATCCTCTTAAAGTCTTAATAAGGATTCAAGTCAATCAGTTTCCGACATTTGTGCTGCCATTTTAAGGCTGCTGTAGTGCTCTCTTAATTGTTGTAAATCATTAAAGCAGCACAATGAGAGCTCATCTCCAGACACTGTCAGATTGACGGCACAATTTGATTAATAATAGCAGAGGGAGAGAGATAGAGAGAGAGGTTATATTTTGTGTAATTATTAAAGAAGTGAACCATGTGAGGTTATACGGTTTAAATTTATAAGTAAAACTTATATTACGTTTTGGAAAGATTTGGTGGGCAGCCAAATACTCTTATACTAATGAAATTAAAATCATATGATTACGATATTGGAGAGACCATTTGCTTTGTAATTCTAATTTCTGCAGAGAGCCTCAGCAGCGGCCCGCCGTTTGGCGAATGCTGTTTATATTTGACCATGGACACTTACTTGTGAGGTGAATAATGACAATAAATGGGTGTTTGTAACACTAATTAATAAATGGCACCTAATTACAAGTTATTATAATGAACAATTTCTACGATTGAACATTTTAAAAACCTGGTGAGGAGAACGAAATGAGCCGAGAAATAATAGAAAGGAAAAAATAAAAAGCAAATAATATTACCTGGTGGAAGGCTGACAGGTACTGCAGCCGAACAGGACTGCCAGTGAAATGCACATGATGGGGAAGACTGTGACTATCAGTGTCATCACCACCACCAGTATCGATATCGCCACCTTCATCTGCTCTGAAAGAGTTGAAAAGGCTAAAAATGAGTCACGAGGAAAGAAGTTAGGGTTTTTAATGCTCATTTTACGAAGTTCGTTTTAATTTGAAGATAATATAACGATGATGGTATTTGATGCTGGAGCTGCTGAAAACCCCAGACTTGTGTCATCATTGAAGCTCTAATTATAAATGAACCCCGAATTTGTTACATATGAGCCAATAGACCAGAAGATGATCTGACTGAGCCACTAAAACACTAAGGCCTATGGAAATATTAATAATCAATATGGAAATATTTATAACAACCTTTCTTCTGGACGGTTGAAGCGGATCTTATCTTCCTGTTGATTCCCCGTTCATCGGAGTCGTTTGATGGCTGGGAATTGTTCTTGAGTTTGACCCCGTCCAAGACCTTGCTAAACTTATTTCTCCTCTTGAAGTGGCGGGTTACGTTGAGGGTAATGCTGGCGTAGCAGAACACAATCAGGATTATTGGAAGCGGAAACGTGATCAGCGAGTAGACCAGTATGTAGTATCTGGAGATAAATTAACTTATTTAATAATTGGATAACAATATTTAGTATATGTCAACTAAGTTATTTGATAATTGTAGAACAGTATGAACATTGAACGTGTGTGTTGCAACTAGCAGCTATGCAACGAGTAATCTCAACGTTTTGTCTATGACAAAGGCATGTAGCCGAAACGTCGACAGTACATGATTTATTATGTTTTAAAGTGGAGATTCTCATTTCGTCCCCAGTAATCTATCATGATCGACCCATACCACTCAACAGAGCGAAAAAAGAAACATATTTGGAGATATATTGTTATTTGATAACTATCAAACAGTATTTGAGTATTTGAGTATTTGAGTATTTGAGTATTTGAGTATTTGAGTATTTGAGTATTTGAGTATTTGAGTATTTGAGTATTCAGTATGTAGTATCTGGATATAAGCGATATGGTTGCACTGCACTTAAAGAATATACTTTGCCCGAAAACTACAAATTTACGAGTAAACTTTTACACGCCTGTTTTAGTGACAAGCACATTATAAAGATATTAAAAAGTTCGAGAAGGACTTGTTCATTTCAGCGCCATTGTTGTTATTTTATCTTCGTTAACTTTCTTGGCTGATAAAACCACTTAAGCATTAACTTTGCTGCTCCAGTAAAAAGGAATGATTTATGGGTGAGCTCATAGTTCATGCAACCTGTTGCCAAGATCGGCTATCAAATAAGCAACTCTGAACCTTCAGAGCAATCAACAAATTAATCTTAATGGGTTTTGTCTGAGATTTAAGATGGGAATCAGTCAATGACTTACGTGCAATGTCTTTAAAGAAGTTAACAATTTATCACCACAATTGGAGGATTTTTAATTGTTCTAGCATTAAAAAATACTGTTTATGTTATTAATTATACCATATCCGCCCCTGCCACTACACATCATTCCACTTTGATTATTACAGAGTATATAGGGGTCAAGGCTAGGACAGAATGGCAGGATTCTGTATAACAGAATTGAAATTTTGACATCTTTATGTCATTTTGGCCGTCTGCCAATATGAAAATAACTGGGCAAATCAAGATGGTTTTTAGTTTTACAAAATGGTTTAAGATCATTTTTATAAGCTGGACAATTTTCTCTCCGGTGGAACTGACTATCAATTTAAATTGGAATTCATTTTGAGGAGAAGTGCTTAAAAATCGTAAATTATTCTAAATATAAACCGGCCAAAACATCACAATAAATCGTATTAAATACATTAATTACAACTTGATTCGGCACATTAACCAGTTTTATAAACTCCAAAGCTTCCTCAATTTTAATTGTCAGAAATATAAACTCACTTATCAGCGGGGTGACCATTCAGGTCCAGTCCACATGTGTACAGGGGTTGACTGAGAGCGTATCTGCTCCACCCAAAGAAGGGAGGCATGACCAGGAAGAAACACACTATCCAGATCACCGGCACTGCCATCTTCACCTTCCTAAGTGACATGATGTCTCGATATCTGGAGGAAGTGGTTTAGAGTCAGATATTATGATATTATATTATTAGATTTAATATTATCGGAGGTTGACATGCTATCTGGGAAGGGTGTTATAGCAAGCTAATTCATAGTATCAAAACAAAATTGTCGAGATTATTTTAAAATCTTGAGGTTCGGGTGTCTGAGAATATGCTTACTGGTAAGGTTTTGAGATAAGGATGTATCTGTCGAAGGAGCAAAGTGTGAGGAACCAAAGTGACACTGATAGTGCTAGATTGTCACAGGAGCCAATGGTCTGGGGTAAACCACATTTGTAAGGAAAATTGAATTTGAGGATTATAGATGGGAAAATCACAAATAGTAATATTCATGGCTGTCTGGCATTCAAAATTTATCAAAATTTATTATTAGATAATTTAGATATATTGGTTTGCAAGGTTTAACAGGTCTACAAGCTCTACAAGGTTTACAAGGTTTACATGAAGGTTTACAAGGTTTACAAGATTTACAAGGTTTACAAGGTTTACAAGGTTTACAAGGTTTACAAGGTTTACATGAAGTTTTGCAAGGTTTACAAGGTTTACAAGGTTTACAAGGTTTACAAGGTTTACAAGGTTTACAAGGTTTACAAGGTTTACAAGGTTTACAAGGTTTACAAGGTTTACAAGGTTTCCATGAAGATTTACAAGGTTTACATGAAGGTTTACAAGATTTACAAGGTTTACATGAAGATTCACAAGGTTTACATGAAAATTTACAATGTTTACAAGGTTTACATAAAGATTTACAAGGTTTACAAGGTTTACAAGGTTTACAAGGTTTACAAGGTTTACAAGGTTTACAAGGTTTACACGAAGATTTACAAGGTTTACAAGGTTAACAAGGTTTACAAGGTTTTCAAGGTTTACAAGGTTTACAAGGTTTACATGAAGATTTACAAAGTTTACAAGGTTTACAAGGTTGATTCCCGCACTATATAATGACAACACTATATAATGACAAGCACTTTATAGTGACTTGTCACTATATAGTCCTGTCATTATAAAGTGCGTTTTGCACACTATATAATGACATGTGAGACGGCTGCAAATTTACCTAAAAGGATGTGACCCATGCCTTCAAATGGTAAGGTCGCGTAACATCGAACGTGCCACAGATCATCACTAGCTGATCCGTCATCTCAAATATTTTAAGGCAAGCTGTGGAAAGGTTGTGATCCAAGTACTCAAGTGGAAACATGAGTACTTGTTGGAGCTCGTTGGTGTCGTTGGAGCTTGTTATCATGTGGTGGAACACCAAACAGACCTGCTCGCTTCGATCACCTGTCCTGGAACCAGTACGACTGCTGTCTAGCTGGTCTCCCACGCTCTTCGAACCTTGCAGAAGGATGGCATAATGGTTTCTGCAGCCTCGTCCAGTGTTCAAATCCTACCATCTGGAAATTCCTTGAAGCCCTCAAACTAGAGCAAGGACTAACAGACCAGAAGATCACGGAAAGACTGATGAGAAGACCTCCACCCCAGAGAGCAGCCAAGTGGATAAGGTACGACTCCCTTCTGGAATCCTTCATGCAAGCCTACGATAACCAGGAGTACGAAGTCATCGATTATCTCTCTGCTGTTTCTGCTGCACTATGAATTCGACATTTGATTATTGATATTATCGGTTTTACGATATTGGGATTTTATGATATTTCGATTGTACTATATTTCTATGACAGTTATACATTTTACTTAAATAAGATTATTTGCTTTAGTAATATTCTAAAAGTAGAATTAAAGAAAAGTAAGGAAAAGTCGATATAAGATAAACTTGTCACTATATAGTGTTGTCATTATATAGTGCGTTTTGCAGACTATATAATGAAAAAGATCAGCTGTCATTATAAAGTGCTTGTCATTATATAGTGTTGTCATTGTATAGTGTGATTACCTACAAGGTTTACAAGGTTTACAAGGTTTACATGAAGGTTTACAAGGTTTACAAGGTTTACATGAAGATTTACAAGGTTTACATGAAGGTTTACAAGATTTATATTGTGAACCTGGCACAGGAGAGCGGATGGTTTCCAGTCACTGTATACGATCATGATAAAGGAGGTTGTCATAGTGCAGCAACACACTAACATGTCCACTATTGCTAGGTTGTAGATCAGAAACGTGGACACACACCGCATTAATCTGAGAGGCAGGTTGATTTTGAGACAGAAATGCGAATTAAGGTTAAAATTTGGGCTAAAAATTCAAAAATCCTCAAACTTAAATGTTATTTATAAATATTAATTGATTATTAGTTGTTAGACGTTGTGTCTGATTTTCTTAATCATTAAATCCTGTTTTCCCATTATAACTTAAATGCTTAAAAAGTGAGTGTACCTTCTTAAAAGGAACGCTATGATCATCAAAATGTTTCCAAACACTCCAACAACGAGGAATATTATCAACAATCCACCCTGAAATAGAAATACTTAATGAAGCAAAGAAGAAATATTATAAATAAGTAAATATCTGATTCCTAATTTGATGCTTTGATCGTCCTTTAATATTTTTAAAAATCTTGCACAGCTAAATGATTTTAATCCACTTTTGCACTTCATTTAGTGCGAAAGTGACAAAAATAGTGCCGTTGTGACAGCACCAGTTTACTTTTAATGAATTTTAAACGGTTCCCGGGTTCTCACCATGACAGTAACAGTAAATAGATCTGGGCGGTCGTGGTAGTGGGAGGAAGAGTTCCTGTATCCTTCCGACATGATGTACACCGATCACCTTCACCAACTAGTGAGTAATGGAGGCACATGTAAGATTTAGACATGTTTGAAATATGCTCATTTACTGTTATTTTTTAAGGAAACGAATACTAACTGGTATTAGATCTGGCGAGAATATCCGAGAAAAATTGCGAAATATGAAACTGGAAAGTAAATATCAATCGCACGATATTACTCAGCTTCAACTAAGATACGGACCACAGAGTTCATTGCTAATACTATATATGTAGCGACTCTAAATTCAAATTGAGAGTTCGGTGGAATTAGAAGTTAATAATAAAAATTCAAATTAAGAAATATTCACTATCGGGAAATATAGGAAATAATGAGACTTGAACCCTATGTTTGTTTTGAAACCCCACGGTGGAGGTTGGCGTGTGCCGCAATTTATTAATCAATGGTTATTACATAAATGAAATTATAGAAGTCACACTAAAATATAATAATGTAAAATAAAATATATTAAAATAAATGCCCTACTAGAAGTACTATATAACTAACGGTCTGCAAAACTGGTTGAAGTCGCAATTTGTAAACATGCTAATTACTATTTGATAATAATAGATAAAAAGTTTTGCGCGGCAGATGTAAATTTGGCATTGCATAATGGCAGTGAAATTAAAATGATATGTTGTTAATGTTGATAAAAGATCATGGTCATTTGTCGCGAGTGATCTTTCTTTACGCGTTGTCGCTTACTAACTCGGTGTTGTAGTCTATCTGCGAGCGCCCTTCTCTTTGAGACTTTCTTAGCCCAGGTATACTATAAAGTAAGAAATTTGGCCAATTTTCATCGTCTCCTGAGCTTTGCAGCTTGAGGAGTTCGCGCTTAGCTGAATTTTTAAAGATTTCAATTGAAAAGGTAGAACTTGGAATAGTTATATCCTTACTTTGTTTTGTAATAGAGAGCATGGGTCCTTTGAAGAAAAGAGTATTTCTAAATGTTGGGCCGTTGTAAGTTGTGAACCAAGAAAGGTTATGTTCGTATGTGGAATTATAGGTGGGAATATCGTGAGGGAAAAGTTCTTTGATGGATTTAGGGAGAAGGCTTGGCATGTTCCTTACTTTGTGTAGTAGAATAAGAGCGTTTTTAACAATGACACTATGGACTGTTAGGATATTATGCAATCTAAACGCACTTTTTGTGTGCTCCGGGGGATTGCCGTCTTTATATCTATAATTTACATATCCTGACATAACAGCTCTAATTCCCTGCTTTTGCTTGGTGAACAGAGATTCAATGTGACATTTTGAGGCAAATCCCCACACTAAAGAACAGAAATTTAGATGGGATTGGATAAGGCTTTGGAAAATGTTTAGGCGGGCTTTGATAGGTAGAAGGTGCTTTAGCTTATACATAACTCCGAGGTAGCGACCCATCTTTATTCTAACTGCCGTAATGTGTTTTTGCCAAGTGAGCTTTTCGTCTAGGATCACTCCTAAAAATCTTGCTTCAGTCTTACGTTCGATTACAGTGTTGTCAATGGACAAATTAAAGCCGCTGAAGTCGATTCTTTTTCTAGTGAAAATCATGTAACACGTCTTTTTTACATTTAAAGATAGCCCATTAGCACCTACCCAATCTACAAGACGTGAAATTAGCTGATTAGCTTTTAATTGTATTTCTTCTAGGGTGGTTCCACTAATTAATATGTTTGTGTTGTCGGCATAAAGGATGAACTTTGCAAAATCACTAATTCCAGGTAGGTCGTTTATATAAATTACAAATAAGAGAGGTCCTAAAATGCTACCCTGAGGTACGCCGTAAACTATGGGCATGCTAGAAGAGCAAGTTCCGTTTAAAGTTACGTATTGAGATCGATTACAAAGGTAAGATCTAAACCATTCGTGCGCGACTCCCCTGATCCCACAATGGTCAAGCTTCTTAAGTAAGGTCTCATGATCAAGCACGTCAAAGGCTTTACTGTAATCGAGCAGGAGCAGTAGGGAAATTTGTTTCTTATTCAGAGAGTGTAGTATAGAATTTTGGGCATTGAGCAGTGCATGTTCGCACGATCTTCCTGGCCGAAATCCGTATTGATTTTCGAAAAGAGAATCGTTCTTGTCTAAAAATTCTAAAACACGAGCATGCATAAGTTTCTCATAAATTTTCGAGAATGATCCCAAAAGAGAGATCGGCCTATAATTAGCTACTTCCAATTTTGAACCACCTTTGTGGATAGGAACGACTTTCGCAGTTTTTAGAGCATTTGGGAAGGTACCACTGGAGAACGAACA